ATGTATATTTAAATCATGTGATTTACAAAAGGTGATTGTGATTGTATTCCATCCCTACATATCATCAAGTGATGAGTCTGCTCGCTTGCCCCCCGATATCACAAAATAACTCACAGATAACAAATAAATCTGTAGATATAGTGACGGATTAAGAATACGGAATGTCACCACCCCTATGCATCCCGTGGGTGTCGTAAGAGCCGACTAAGGGAACAAACTGCACAGGACAACAGCACTGCAAAAAGAAGGAAAACTGGAAACAAACCCTATACCAACCCGTCTGGCCAAAACCTCCTTTCTCAAGGAGAGGCCTATGTCCAGCAATGGACTGTTATAGACTGTTCATGATGTTGATGAGTTATAATTAGCTTTTATTAATTTATGTTAACCTTGAAAATACTGTATCGTAAGTATTTATTTATTGTCACAGTCTGTTTGTTTCTAGATATATTTGAGGAAATCAGTTTCATATAAAAAATAAGCGTGTGTGCAAATATTAAAGATTATACATTAATTAATTAATCTTATATGTATCGAAACATTATCAACAAACTTATCGTGGGAGAGCCATGCTTCGGCACGAATGGGCCGGCTCAACTAGAGTGATACCACGGTTTCACAAAAAACCGGTGTTAAGCAATTCTTTCGTTGCCTTTCACTGAGTGAGTGAGGTTAATGGAGCAGAAATCCCGTCTCCCGCTGACTCGAGCGGGAGGGACTCCAAGGGCAGCAACGCAGTTGTGACTTTTGAGTTGCTGGTGTCCATGGGCGGCGGTAGTTGCTTACCATCAGGTGACCCGTCTGCTCGTTTGCCCCCTTATACCATAAAAAAAACAGTTTTTGCGTATTTAATGCGCTGCATGTCGTATAATTTACGGGATCATCATGACATTTCATATACAAGTTGCCAGAGATACAGGGAAGGAACATAGCTCGGGGCACCAGGGACTTCCTTTCTAGGGTATACCTGGTTCCCCGGCTATTAGTACCCGAGACGGCGTGCGATTTTAGTCGGTTCGAGTCCGACATGCCACACAGGTGACAGGTGGTATCCGAGGGGATTTCCGCACGGAAAAAAAAAAAAGGGAAGGAACATAGCATTATTCTACGATCATGACGATCGTAGAATAATGTCGGTTTTGAAAAAAAAACGTACTTTTTACCATATTTGGATACTACATTATCTAAATATTATTACTACTATTTGTTGTTTTTATCGGTTTTTAAAACAAACCCTACTTTTCACTTGTATGCCAATTTCTATAATAACAGATGTCTCAGGAGGAGCTGTTAGTAGAAAATATAAAAATCGTAAAATCATTGAGTCGCGTTGCGGAATCTTGATCTCACACTAGCTAACCCGCACATCCGCACAAAAGAAATCAATTCTCCTTGTTTTCGCAACATTTTTTATTGTAGCTCGGCTCCTATTAGTGGTAGCGTAATGTTATATAGCGTACAACCTTTCTTGATAAATATGCTATGCAACACAAAACGAATTTTTCAATTCGATCCAGTAGTACCTGAAGGTAGCGTGTTCAACTAAACAAAGTCTTCAATTTCATATATTACTAGCTGGCCCGGCAAACGTTGTATTGCAAAACAAAAAAAAAATAAGGATGGGTCACCCTTACCATTTAGGGGTATGAAAAATAGATGTTGGCCGATTCTCAGACCTACCCGATGTTTACACAAAATTTAATAAAAATCGGTCCAGCCGTTTCGGAGGAGTATGGTAACTAACATTGTGACACGAGAATTTTATATATAAGACTAGCTGACCCGGCGAACGTTGTTTTGCCAGTTACATTATTTCTAGGAAATATTGAAAAAAAAAACAGGGTTGGGTCACCCTTGTCATTTAGGGGTATGAAAAATGGATGTTGGCCGATTCTCAGACCTACCCGATGTGCACACAAAATTTTATAAAAATCGGTGCAGCCGTTTCGGAGGAGTATGGTAACTAACATTGTGACACGAGAATCTATACTAATATTATAAAGCTGAAGAGTTTGTTTGTTTGTTTGAACGCGCTAATCTCAGGAACTACTGGTCCGATTTGAAAAATTCTTTCAGTGTTAGATAGCCCATTTATCGAGGAAGGCTATAGGCTATATATCATCACGCTAAGACCAATAGGAGCGGAGCACCAATGAAGAATGTTTCAAAAACGGAGAAAATTTATTACTACTGAGAGACGCAGACGAAGTTGCGCGGGTCAGCCAGTTTTATATATAAGATTAACATACATTAAGTTAAAATTGAACATGACGTCACAGTGGGTATTCAAAACGAGACGCTTTGTTCTTAATACCGATCGTATCACTTCCTTATCTGTGGGTCTTTATTGTAATAAAAAGTCTGAACTTTACAAAGCAGGTTTTGTCAGCAAACACGCTTTTTTTTAGAATTAATTTTATAACTACGCTATCATAACTTATATTGGCTCTAAAACTTTTAAAGGAGTCATTTAGCTAATTAGGGGGCTTAGTGCAAGTTTATTTCACATCCACTCGCTCTCGACAGCTCTTGCGTTCGGCGCTGTGATTGGCCCGCACTTCACCAATCGCAGTGCCGCACTAGAGATGTTTTGCTGGAGGAGAATGTTCAGGATATCGTGGACGAACTTCCGTGTAGTGACACGTTGATGCGGAAGACATTCTGTGATGCCGAGCCTTGTATATCAATGTGCCGAGCTCCTGGAGTCCATACTTCAGGAGCTCGGCATCACAGAATGTTTGTCAACTACAGTACAGTCGCGCATACTGCAGTATTTTGGACATGTCTCTAGACGGAATAGCGACGTAGTGCAGGGAAAGGTGGAGGGAACCAGATTCACACAGAATACATACTATACATAGAAATATATATTCATTCATTACCTTATATTATTTACTTATTAGCTTTTGCCAAAGGCTTTTGCTTTTTTTCTCCGTGCGGAAATCCCCTCGGATACCACCTATCGGTGGCATGTCGGACACGAACCGACTAAAACCGCACGCCGTCTCGGGTACTAATAGCCGGGGAACCAGGTATACCCTAGACTGCCAAAGGCTCTACCCGAATGTATGTCGGTTATCGAGATAAATAGTAGTCTATGTTACTAGGTTTTACAATCGGTTTAGGCGTAAAAGCGTAACAAACAACTGCCTAGTTTAGGATCAGACCGCCTTGTGTGAGATTTGTAATATTGTTTTTATTAAAAATAATATCCTATTCGCCGTTCTTCAGTTTTCATGGTTTTCATGTTGGTAGATTTTTGTAACAAATCTCCGTAGAAGAGACTGCCTACTATAAAGCCGAGTGAGGCGAAGTAAAACATAACTTTGCATTACTTCCCTGTTACTGTCACAACCTTAATGAAGGACGGTACTAAATCGATCGTTCAAAGCAATATTAGTTTTCCAACACGTTGATAAGGTACATAATTGTTTGGGTTTGATAACTCTTACCGACGTATCTATTACTAATAGTTATCTTGATCAGATTTTGTTAAGCATTTAGGTGTCGCGGTCGCCACGCCGCTACCTACTACGATGTGTTTATTTATCTATACCTCCTGCAAACACATTGCACAAGGCGGACTTAATGCCATAGGCATTTTCTTCCAGTCAACCTTGGGGTGGTGCAGAGATTTGTGAGTGGCAGGTGTATAATGCGATAAATTATTTAAAGTGTTCAAATTATTTAGAGTGTTGTGGGTTCGATCCCCACATTTGTGTGATTTACAAATTGTTGTTATGAGTCTGGGTGTTCTTTGTGTCCGTTTCATGTACGTTTTTAAAGTCCCCCGCGATACAGGATATATTCCTAATGTGGGAGTTGTCTTTTTTTTAGGTGCTGATGCGACAAGCTGCAGAAATCTCAAAAAGACAGATAACTTTAACCAATATTTTTTTTTCGAATGTTATTTATAAATGTAAATACCTAATGTGGTATCAATTATGCAACATCGAATAGTTATCTAGATGTCGTATAACAGACTATACATACATATCTATTATCAAACTCAAAATATCTTTATTTCATTTTTGTTTTTTAAATTGTTTGAATTGGTGGTGAAGGATTAAGAATACGGAGTGTCACCGCCCCTATTCTTCCCCTGGGTGTCGTTAGAGCCGACTCAGGGAGCAAACTACGCAGAACAACAGCACTGCAAAGAGAAGGAAATGTCCAGCAGTGGACTGTTATAGGCTGTTGATGTGATGTTGATGTGAATTCGTCTTTTTAGTAGACTCTAAAGTCATAGTCCAACACACAATTGCAACAATCTATTTTGTCAAATATTTAGCAAAATGAATATAATATGGTAATATCGAAAATCTATGATATGCCTGTGCCGATCTACAACCGCCCGTTTCCAAGGGGCTGAGCCTTATGAGAAGAAAATGCTAAAGGAATAAAATCGAACGCTGTCTCGGGTACCAGTAGCCGGGAAACCAGGTGTACCTTAGAAAGGAAATCCCTGGTACCCCTTACCCCTAACTCCTACCAAGCTCTACACTCGGTGTAGAGCAACCAAATAGCTGAGTCGGCTCAAAAAAATTAATTTTGTCTTTGTTATCAAATAGGTGAACGTTTTTGAAGGTACCACCTATTTTTTTGTATTTTGCGGTTAATGACCTTATTTAAAAAAAAATGCTTTAAGATTATTTATTACTCATAGTTTATTAACATTTAAATCAAAATTGTGCAGAGTCAGAGGTTGATATTTTATGCACTAGCTGACCCTGCAAACGTTGTTTTGCTATTTACATTATTTTAATTATTTTTTTTGAATTTCTTAAAATCCGTTCTTAGCTGACCTCTACTCGGTGAAAAGAATATTCCTACCAAATTTCAAGTCTTTAGCTCTAATGGTTCCAGAGATATCGTGATGAGTGACTATATACGTGGAAATCTCTTATATATATATAGAAGATAGATAAATATAACGAAATTACGAGTGTAAAATATAGCTCACCCTTATAATTAAGACAAAATAAGGACAATATACTCACGCTTGTTCTCGAGGCGCGTCGGCTCCGTGACGACATTCTTCACTCCACCGTGATTCATGTCTTGTTTACTAGGCGCTCTTAGCAGTAGCCATCGTAACTCAGCTGCAATATACATAAAACAACAAATTAGTTACACCAAGAGGAAGGTGGGTTTGCAATCGTGTAAGAAAGAAACTACTAGTCCGTGTGGTGACGGATTAAGAATACAAATTGTCACCATCCCAATTGATCCCGTGGGTGTCGTAAGAGCCGACTAAGGGAGCAAACTAAGCAGGACAACAGCACTGCAAAGAGAAGGAAAACTTGAAACTAACCCTATACCAACCCGTCTGGCCAGCGTGGTATAGTAGGCCAAAACCTCCTTTCTAAAGAGAGGCCTATGTCCAGCAGTGGACTAGTATAGGCTGTTGATGTGAAGAAAGAAAGAAAGAAAAATAATTTATTCGTGGACGTAAGAACATACACTCACAATATAAGGGTAACTTAATACAAGGCTTAAGCGAAAATACATTTTTACGTGGACGTGTCAGTCGAATAGGACCTGGATCAGCGTCTGCTTAACTGATGTCAAGCGCTGGTTTTCTACCAGCCCATGAGTGACGGACGTAAAAAAAAAATATATTAAAATTAACACCACTATTACGATCGTGTGAAATGAAACAGTACTACTGTGCTTTAACATGTATTGTGACCACGAGTCCGCATTTTAGGGTACACTTATATCTCTGTCTCTGTTCGTGGAAAATTTGAATACCCACACCGATTGATTACTATAAAAAGTACAATGTAACCGTTCAAAGTGTCAATTATTTAACGAAAATGATGTAATATACAAATGTTTGAGTGATGAAGTATAATATATTAGTGTATTAAGTGAAAGAAATGTTCTCATGTAAGTGAAATGTAAATTTCTTTTTGAGAAAAATAAATTCTTTACCCACAAATAGGCCTATGCAATAACAAAAAATTTAATAGTTATAAGCTAATATGAACTATACTTTAAAGAAGCAAAATTTGTTGGTATTAAATTAGCATAAATAATAATATAGTCAACTATGCACACAACCGCGACAAAGGAATGTAATAAATAAATTAAAATAATACGTATAAACGTAAATAAAGTGGCGAAAGTACAAGCAAAGTCAACTCTGCCGTACCCATACAACAGTAGATAGAAATTATATTAAAATGTACTCAACCATTTGTTACGTGATATATGTTGGTTTAAAAAACAAAAAAGTATGCATATGTGGCGTCAAACCTAAATGAATTAAAATGGTACCTAATTGAATGTTTAGGTTTGTAGCAAGTCATTAAAATAAATGAAAAACTCCAAAGGTGTGTAATAATAATATACTTCGGACATTTAACACACAACGCCATCTAGTTTCAAACTATGCAAAGCTTGTAATATGAAAGCTAGACTGACTGATAGAATACTTTTATACTTTTTTTTTGGAAATACATACTTATTATACATATAAAACACCTAAACTCCGAAACAAAAATTTGCAGATCATGCAAACATTTGGTTCGACCCCGGAATAGAACCTGATACCTCAGCACAGCAGTCGCATACGCTACCACCATCGAGTTAAATTACCACACAGTAAATTAAGTATAGCTCGGGTAATAGCAAGGTAGGTTTGGGACTGTGTACTGGAAGCATTATCTGTGTTACTTTCACAAAAAATAAATCATCAATATATATGGACCCTTAAAGCAAGGCGTTTACAGATTGTGATGTTTCTTGTCAAAAAAACTATATTTAGACACGAACATCAATCACGACATAATATTTAAATGAATTTGACGAAGTTGCCTCCTTTCGTCACGAGTTTAATTGATTCTCTATGTTCGTCAGAGCCTCAGCTGCGTGCAATCACCGCCCCCTGTTCCACTCTCATTTCACCTACCTCCCCTTTCCAGTTTCTGTGTGTTAATCACAACAGAACCTTCCGTTTTACAAACAATACTCTTTTGCTACGAGAACCGACCGAATATAGTTAAAAAAAAAGATTTGAGATGACCTTTAATAAATTTATTTGAATAAATTGGAATTAGTACACTTTAGTATGAAAATTGAATCGGAACTGTGCGGCAAGGAGGTCTGAGGAGAACTGAGGTACAGGTATGGCAGAAGTTATAGGAAGCTTTGAATACGATGACTGGGATGATTAAAAGGGCTAGGTAGGCAAGTTTCCTAGGGCAGTGTAATAGACACGTCTCCTACTTCCGTGCGTGTTTACTATTTGTTTTTAACTCAGTCTGTTCTCTTCTGGAAAGCTCTTCCTCTAAGAATCATGATAGCACCTTGCTGTTTTCAGTCTGAGGCGAATTTTTTATTATTTCGATACAAACGATAAATAAAGAAAGACCAAATGACAAACAAATAATAATTTAATACTTGTGTATTAAATGAAATGAATTGACCAATAAAATTGTTGTCAATTTCATTGGTCCAAGGTTCAAGTCAGATCAAAAAGTACCTGTGTAATGAATAATATTAAAATACATAAGAACCTCCATGTAGGCAAGCTTTTAGAAGTAAGTGTATTTTAACGCAACTCGATCCACGATTTCTTTCGTAACGTAATTTTTTTTTCCCCGCTTTCCACATTCACTCAAAATAATATATTGGTTATATTCAACTTAAAATAGTTGGATGATAATACATACTGACTTAAACTTTTCTGTTCTATTATCGATATATTAATATTTATTTATTTTATTTCAGACATATACATATAGGTTGTTTAGTAATGGGTTAGAAATAGATATGTACCTGAAGAGAATTCTTTACTTTTTAAACTAATATGGCGCAAGTAAGAAAGCATATTTTGAGAAACGTAATGTTTGTGTGTAGATCAAAGAGTCAAAGAGGTCAAAGGGCTAAAACTTAAAAAAGAATCCATACTAATACTATAAATGCGAAATTATGTCTGTGTGTTTCTCGTCAGGCATAAACCGCTGAATAGATTTCGATGGGTATAGAGATAGTTTGAGTCCCGGGAAAAGACATAGGATAATTTTTATTATAGAAATCACGCATTAAGGGAGTGAAAATGGGGTTGGAAGTTTGTATGGGAAACATAACCACTGAACCGATTTAGGTGATATTTGATGTGGAGATAGTTTGATTCTTGAGAAAGGATATAGGACTTTTTACCACCATAACCGACATACAAGCGGGCAGAACCTCGGGCAAAAGCTAGTGTGCAATAAACGAAAAAAATATGTATAAACGGCTAAATAAAAAATATTAATGTCCTGTTTATATTTTGACGTGTCATTGTACAATATTCTATGCAATGACAGTCCAAATTATACTGGATTTCGAACTTTGAACTTGAATAACTTAATGTGGGAAGGTTGAAGAATTTTCATATCATAATAATGATGATGAAAGTGATGGTGAGGGATTAAAAATACAGAGTGGCACCACACCTATTCATCCCGTGGGTGGTAGCCGATTAAGGGCGCAAAACTACGCAGGATAACAGCACTGCAAAGAGAAGGAAAACTTGACACAAATCCTATACCAACCCGTCTGGCCAGCTTGGTATAGTAGGCCAAAACCTCCTTTCTAAGGAGAGGCCTCTATCTATATCTCAGTAGACTAAAGGCTGTTGATGTGGATAGTGATCTTAATTTTTAGCTGTAGGTGAATCATTGTGTGCTTTATTACTTCTATTATTTGAGATAAATTAACCAGACTATAAATAAACGGTAGGGATCGTAAAATTTGTCCAAAAACCCTTTACTTAGCAAGTTTTGGACGGAAAAGTTCGACCGATAGCCGGACATTCGTAACTCAATTAGGCCAAACAAGTAAAGGAACTAGAAATGGATTGCCAATAAAACGAATGCTGAGAGTTCCTAATAATGTCGTCGCATTGGCAAAATGTTGTAATAGGTTGAAATAAAAACTTTTACGATAATATTAAAGGAGAATGGTATATTGTATCGTTTTGGGAAGAGTTTCTCTTTTCTATGTTATTACTAATATAATAATATTTTCAAAAATGTAACACAACGCCATCTAGTTTCAAACTAAGCAGAGCTTGAATGATAGATAAATACATACATACACATATGTATGTTTTAGAGCTTTACTTAAATACTTGATATACCTGTAAATGTCGTTACCAGCCTTATTTATTTGTTATTAAAAAGAAAAGAAAAGAGAACCACTTTCGAATCTAATGTTTTACTTTTAACACCTACACATTCGTTATTTTGTAAGTACAATATGATTGTAGACCACTTGTACGAGTAGCATTCACTACAAACCTAAGCGGTTCAAGAATTTTATTTGATAAATATATTTAAAAAAAAAAACAACCTTTTTTTCTTTTATTATGGCATAGGGGAGTAAGGTAAACTGATGGTAAGTGACTAAAGTTACCCATGGACATTTGGAACTCAATTGGAGTTAAAACAAAATTTAATATGAAAGCAAAAAACATTTCAAGTAGACTTGCAACGAATATTCGGTTACTATTCGGTATTCGGCATATTCGGCTGCTTTTATTATATTCGGCCGAATACCGAATATCTACATATTATTCGGCCGAATACCGAATACTTAAATAATATATTTTGTCATTGAGAAATAATTGGTAAAATGAAAAATTAAAATCGATTGATTACGTATATATTCATATTTTCATTTCTGTTATAATCATTTAAGTAGTCATTGGTGCATAACACAGGTACATAATCATCTTTTAAATTGGAAAAATGGAGGATTCTATGTATTTGAATTATTGTGGTAATCAAAATTTAGAAGGGTAAGGTTCTCATTTCTTTTATAATCATTTATTAAGTAGTCATTGGTACATAAAACAGGTACATAATTTAATTCACGTCTGTACAAGTTTTTGGCGCTAAAATCCAGCCGAATACTTTTGCCTAATATTCGGCTATTCGGTCAGGGGCCTCGCCGAATATTCGGTATTCGGTATACTGCCGAATATACTATTCGTTGCAAGTCTAATTTCAAGTCAATGTCAACTTACGACTTACTTTGAGGGAGCTGTATATCAGGCACGCCATCATCGCGGCGGTAAGACCCGTTATGGAGGATTGGCTCGAGAGGCATCACGGGACCCT